CTTGATGTCAAACAGTCAAAAAGAGTTTCACAGAACAAGAAAAAGAATGAACAAAATGAAAATGAATGTGCTGTGAGTCCAATATTTTAAAGAATGGCACCATTTGAATTATCAAATCCTATTCAATTGCACCCAGGTAGCATGTCCATTAAGTCGTACTATATCCAACTTCTTCAGTCAGTCTAGCTGGTTTTATTGGACATGTAAAATTTCCCGAAGGTTTATGGTTTTAGCTACTTTTAGCACATTGAAAAAGACTCCTGAAAGTCCCTCAGACCTACAAATCAACAGTTCATTCCCGTTTTTTGTCAACAAATTCTTTTCTGAATTGATCCATTTGCAGTGAGTGGGTGAATTGTTTCAGACCAGTCAGAAATACATTCCAAGCTCTCTTTCTGGGACAGTTGATGTTTGTTTTATTTCATTTGAAAAAAAGGTTTCTGAATCCATCTTTCAGATTCCCTTCAAATTTTGAGCTGTCACTGAATTTCATTTCTATTTAGCCGACTGGCTAGCAAAGATGACCGTTAGGCAATGTCCTGTGCACAGTCACCATTTTCAAGATTGCATGGGATCATCTCAAACCTCAGTGTCAGTGATTGAGTGAGTGGTGTTTATTGCTACTTTTAGCAATATTCCAGCAATATCATGGCGTGGGAAACCAGAAATGGGCTTCACACACTGTACCCATGAGGGGAATTGAACCCAGGCCTTCGGTGTGACGAGCGAACTCTTTAAACACTAGGTTACCCCACCACCCCCAGTGTCAAATGACAGTGGCTGCCCAACTATTCATCACGACATACTGAATACCAGTACGTGATACCCGCACCTTGGATGTTGGCCTCTGTAAGTGAAACAGTCCATAAAGAGAACCATCTTACATGGCATTTTCTATCCAGTATGACAGATCTGCATGTATCTGGGATCCTGTTTAAGTCAATGCCAACTCATTGTAACAGATAAAATTCACATATTGGCAAGTTGTTTGACAGCATGAGCAATGATCAACCCCCCAAAATAGAGTGAGTGAGTGAGTAAGGTTTTACACCGCTTTTAGCAAAATTCCAGCAATATCACGGAGGGGGACACCAGAAATGGGCTTCACACATTGTGCCCATGTGGGAAATCAACAACACGAGCATCAATCTGCGCAATTGGGATACCATGACATGTGTCAACCAAGTCAACGAGCCTGACACCCGATCCCGCCAGTCGCCTCTTACGACAAGCATGGGTTATTGAAGATCAATTTTAACCAGCATCTTCACAGGTTCTAGACATTGGGGGATTCACCCAAATGTAGTTTAATAATTCACTGTTTGATTGACAGCATAATGATGGACAGCTAGATTAGTAGCGTTCATCAAGCGGAGGTTACCCTCCAGTCAATGTGATGTCACATGTGATGGAGTGAGTGAGTATGGTTTTACACCGCTTCTAACAATATTCCAGCAATATCATGGTGGGAGATACCAGAAATGGTCTTCACACATTGTACCCATGTGGGGAATCGAACCCAGATCTACGACGTGATGAGCGAACGCTTTAACCACAAGGCTACCCCAACACCCCATGTGTGATGGAAAAAACACTGCTGATGTTATTTCTGATATTGACAGAAGTTAGCACAGTTAGTAAAATATTCTCCCAGAAGTAGGTAAAATCAGAGATGCCTCTTGGAAGGCCAGAGTGAGTGAGTTTGGATTAACAACGCTCTGAACAGCACTTCGGTTATATCGCAGCTCAACGGAACATTCCAAGAGATACAGATCTCAGACATTACCAAGTTAGTGGTTCCAACAAGCATGGGGATGGTGCTGACAAACCTAGAGGCATTATCTGGTCAACTTGAGATTCAACCGTGATCATGGGTTCCTGGCATGCCCAGGGGACACAACTCCGTACAGCTAATTGCAGAGGATTAGATCGCAGGGCCACTTACGTCCCCAACAGCCTGGAGTGAGTGAATGTTGGCCAATGAGTGAGTCAGAAAATCACAATTATATATATCGAATGTCTGATGAAGAAGGACAAAATGATCGAAACGATCAACATGGCTTCGACGACCTCTGAGTGAGGCATACTATCAGCCAGGTCACACAAGAATAACCTTACCTAGATTTAAGTTGCTTACAGCGAGCATATGGTATATTCTCCCAACAATAAACTTGGTTTCCTAACTGTACCACTACAATGTGACCAGTTCTGTGGCACACAGAATATTGGGGAGTATGGAGAATCGTGAAACTCTAACCCATTGCCAGGTGGTTACAGACTGTACTCTGCCCGAACAATAAACTTGGTGTATTAACTGTTACATACAGAGTGACCTGTTCTGTCACATACAGAATACATGGGAATATCTAGCCTTGAAGAGCCCGACCCAACTTTAGGTGGTTACAGGCTGTCCCAACAATAAACTAGGTGTATAACTGTACCATACAGAGTGACTTGTTCGGTGACATACAGAATACATGGGAATATCTAGCCTTGAGGAGCCCAACCCAACTTTAGGTGGTTACAGGCTGTCCCAACAATAAACTAGGTGTATAACTGTACCATACAGAGTGACCTGTTCTGTCACATACAGAATACATGGGAATATCTAGCCTTGAGGAACCCGACCCAACTTTATGTGGTTACAGGCTGTCCCAACAATAAACTTGGTGTATTAACTGTTACATACAGAGTGACCAGTTCTGTCACATACAGAATACATGGGAATACCTTGTGAAACAGCTTCACGTCTGCATCTGAAGAAGCTCAACAAGAGATATATGATACATAGTACTCAAGATGAGAGCTATTAGTAAGCAAAGACATTTTCTGCCATTGTCAGTTCATAGCCGAGTGAATGAGTATGGCTTTATGCCGCTTTTAGCAATATTTCAGGAATGTCTTAGCAGGGAACACCAGAAATGAGCTTCACACATAGTACCCATGTGGGGAATCGAACCCAGGCCTTCGGCTGGACAAGCGAACACTTTAACCACTAGGCTACGCCACCATCCCAGCAACAAAGAGGCAAACTAGAGCTTGATAATGCCAGTATGCTTCCAAACAATGTTGGAACAAAGACCAAGATCAAATTATCACCTACATCAAATGTTTTAGTTGTGTCGAAAGGTTAACTAAATAAGTACTAGCCATATATACCTGCCATTTTGGCCATCCAATCCTCATTATAGTTGCTGCATGGCTGACAACAAGCATAGATCATGCAAGACCAACTCTGTTCTGGAATCCCTATAATCCCTATCGATACATCGGTGAATACGAACTGTGAAAAAACCAACTGAATGAGGATATCTTCTTGTGATGTACAATATTCCAAACAACTAAATGTAATTATACAAAATATTTTGAGATTATCAGTTCTATATACACCAAATGGATTTTTAAGGATTTCATATCAAAAAGAATATACGATAACATACAATTTTCAAATAAAATTTTGTATCCATTTACATTTTAAGCTATGCAATGTTTAATTTCCCAGCTGAATATATATAACTATATAAACAAGTAAAGCATTGTTTAATCTCCCTGCTAAATATATCCTGCTGTATATATTGTAAATACACAAAATAACTTTTCGATAGTTCTAAATGTGTCCTTAATAACAAATGCTAATATTAATCTTACCATACAACTTTATAAGAAGTCATAGTTCCTCATATTTGCTCTAAATACACAGCTTATCAAATGTCTTTCTTGTACACTCAGACAGGTTAACTGGTAAACAATGTAAAATGCCACACATTGTCTCCACTGTTACAACAACTTAACTACGCCATTGAGAATCAGCTGTAAGGGGAACAGTACAACAACGTAACAATACCACATGGGATAAGCTTTCAGGGGAACAGTATCTACAGCAGAAGCAACACATGCAAGCAAAAAGCAGAAGCAGTGATATGTGCCAAGTGAAATAAGTGACAGAAGAAGTAAAAAAGAAAACTAGTACAAGCAAAAGTGGAAAAAAACCGAAAGAAAATATATTTCATTGCAGTCATGCACATCATTAGAAGACACAGGTCAGTGTGACCTAACCATAGAACATCCACTAGCTATGACCATTAAAACTTATTTATTATCATCATGGTACATTTCTTGAATTAATACTAAAGAAGAAAATGTTCTTGGGTTACTGCTTTAGCATTAAACAATGTTCTTGGGTTACTGCTTTAGCATTAAACAATACCTTTGCCCGTTTTCATTCTTTTCGACTAGGACTAAGATATCTTTAACAAAACAGTTATACTGTGTCATAATTCAAGGATTCCTATTTTAGGCGAAAGATTTGGATATTTATTATATGTTCAAACAAAATTTCATAAAATGTAAAATGTGCATACCTGCAATGATAGGAAATTATCTCCATTAACAGAAGGCCGTAAACAAACAACTTCAAATGTCCAACTTATGCATGATTTGTGACTTTGTGTGCAAATATTCGTATATCATTAGAAATTCATTAAACATTCTATATCAATACAAGAAATGTGATAAAATGCATTAAAACTAAAGTAAAAGCATTTCAAATGAATATATTCAAATCATTATAATGCATAGCAACATATTTCATGTCAAATAAAAACATTAATAACATTCAAACACAATTTAAAGAGTCTTAAAAAGACGAGAGCTTTTGCAAATATGATGCTAGAAAAACATGAAAACTTCTGTTTATATGCAAACATTGAATAATACTTATATATGCATTTTGAAACGTGACATCTTTTTCAAACTAAATTTATGGTACAATCCTTCAATTGCATGAGAATCAAGAACATCTCACAGATTGTAATTTACAGCCTAAATGTAATATTATTGTTAATTATCAGAAAAATAACATATAAGAACAGACTTTATATGCAGATGTAACACCAAATGTTGGTGTTTGATCGAGGTGAATTTGTAATGTTGAAAGTTTGAATATAAGGGTAGATATATTAAGAAATGGAATTGCAACTGAGGAGATGAAATCTACCTACCTTCTGATTTTCTCCACCATATCTCCAAATGGTTTTTCCCAACAATACATCTTTATAACTCGCATCCCTGAGATGATCTCATTCATCACACGCACTCGTTCATCGGTGTGTTTAGCTGTCTTTTGTCTGTAGGGAGAAGAAACCATTTCACATTTAAGGACTGTTTCCCTTTTCACGCATGCATTGATGGTCAGTGGTCAGGAAATGCTCAAAGTAGCATGAATAGAAACCAAAGGTTGAAAATATGAAACATCTTAAATGTTATGTTTTTTCTCTTCATGTGTTTTTTTTTGCAAGATACCCAATGATTACAGCTTTGCAAGTTTAAAACTACTCACAGAGTAGAGAGAAGAATTTCCCCTGACTAACCACCTGAGTAAAGAGAAGAGTTTCTCGGTCTACTTACCTGAGTACAGAGAAAAGTTTCCCAGGGCTACACACCTGAGTACAGAGAAGAGTTTCCCAGGTCTACTCACCTGAGTACAGAGAAGAGTTTCACATGTCTACTCACCTGAGTACAGAGAAGAGTTTCCCAGGTCTACTCACCTGGGTACAGAGAAGAGTTTCACATGTCTACTCACCTGAGTACAGAGAAGAGTTTCCCAGGTCTACTCACCTGGGTACAGAGAAGAGTTTCCCAGGTCTACTCACCTGAGTACAGAGAAGAGTTTCCCAGGTCTACTCACCTGAGTACAGAGAAGAGTTTCACATGTCTACTCACCTGAGTACAGAGAAGAGTTTCCCAGGTCTACTCACCTGAGTACAGAGAAGAGTTTCCCAGGTCTACTCACCTGAGTACAGAGAAGAGTTTCCCAGGTCTACTCACCTGAGTACAGAGAAGAGTTTCACATGTCTACTCACCTGAGTACAGAGAAGAGTTTCCCAGGTCTACTCACCTGGGTACAGAGAAGAGTTTCCCAGGTCTACTCACCTGGGTACAGAGAAGAGTTTCCCAGGTCTACTCACCTGAGTACAGAGAAGAGTTTCCCAGGTCTACTCACCTGAGTACAGAGAAGAGTTTCACATGTCTACTCACCTGAGTACAGAGAAGAGTTTCCCAGGTCTACTCACACCGGGTACAGAGAAGAGTTTCCCAGGTCTACTCACCTGAGTACAGAGAAGAGTTTCACATGTCTACTCACCTGAGTACAGAGAAGAGTTTCCCAGGTCTACTCACCTGGGTACAGTGAAGAGTTTCACATGTCTACTCACCTGAGTACAGAGAACAGTTTCCCAGGTCTACTCACCTGAGTACAGAGAAGAGTTTCCCAGGTCTACTCACCTGAGTACAGAGAAGAGTTTCCCAGGTCTACTCACCTGAGTACAGAGAAGAGTTTCCCAGGTCTACTCACCTGAGTACAGAGAAGAGTTTCCCAGGTCTACTCACCTGAGTACAGAGAAGAGTTTCCCAGGTCTACTCACCTGTGTAAAGAGAAGAGTTTCCCAGGTCTACTCACCTGTGTAAAGAGAAGAGTTTCCCAGGTCTACTCACCTGTGTATAGAGAACAGTTTCACAGGTCTACTCACCTGAGTACAGAGAAGAGTTTCACAGGTCTATTCACCTGTGTATAGAGAACAGTTTCACAGGTCTACTCACCTGGGTTACAGTGAAGAGTTTCACATGTCTACTCACCTGAGTCAGAGAAAACTTTCCCCAGTCTATTCACCTGAGTACAGGGAAGAGTTTCCCGGGATGACTCACCTGAGTATATAGAAGAGTTTCCCGGGATGACACACCTGAGTATATAGAAGAGTTTCCCGGGATGACTCACCTGAGTATATAGAAGAGTTTCCCGGGATGACTCACATGAGTATATAGAAGAGTTTCCCAGCATGACTCACTTGAGTATATAGAAGAGTTACCCAGGTCTACTCACCTGAGTACAGAGAAGAGTTTCCCGGGATGAATCACATGAGTACAGAGAAGAGTTTCCCGGGATGACTCACCTGAGTATATAGAAGAGTTTCCCGGGATGACTCACCTGAGTATATAGAAGAGTTTCCCGGGATGACTCACATGAGTATATAGAAGAGTTTCCCAGCATGACTCACTTGAGTATATAGAAGAGTTACCCAGGTCTACTCACCTGAGTACAGAGAAGAGTTTCCCGGGATGAATCACATGAGTACAGAGAAGAGTTTCCCGGGATGACTCACCTGAGTATATAGAAGAGTTTCCCGGGATGACTCACCTGAGTATATAGAAGAGTTTTCCGGGATGACTCACCTGAGTACAGAGGAGAGTTTCCCGAGATGACTCACCTTAGTACAGAGAAAAGCTTGCCCATCCATCCCTGTAGAGGTATGAGCAGTATGAGGACAGCGAAGCCTGCCAGCACTGCCGGCCCCAACTCATACCAAAGTATCACCAGGACGGCTATTGCTTGCACCGGGCCAATCCACAAAAAGTGAAGAAATATCACAGCCTGGAACAAGAGATCAGGACACACTGTAGATCAGGAAATCCACACGGTCACCAATCTTAAAATTACAGTAGGACAGACTTCACAAGTTGTACTCAGGAGCAAGCAAAACAAGTCTGAATGAATGTGCCCAGATGTATTAATCATTTTTTGACAATGAGTAGTTAGGTTTAATATTCTTGCCAGCCATAGTCTCATTACTATCAGATATTTTACTCTAATACAAGACTTCCTTTGGACGTTGATGTAAGGACACCATGAGGTCAAGTCTGGTGACCTTTCTGTTGGTTTGTTTGTTTCTCTCTTTCTTTGGTTTATTGTTTAACGCCACACTCAACAATATTTCCAGATAATGTGGAAACCTGATAAGTAAAATTTCAAGGGACTCGCCAAAATTGTTTACTTATCAGGTCTTTTACTTATCCAAACTTATAAAAACCTGCAAATGACAACCACATGCATGTATATGTATACAGCAGAATAACAGACAACATTTCTAAGTAATATGACCAAGCTACATAAAGCAATGAACAACTTATCAGGGCTGGCAGTGTATTGTCAACTGTTTGACGCCAGCGAGATGTAAGTAGCATGGTTTTTTTACTAAAGGCTGACACGACTGCCCCTCATGTCGGATTATGTGGTGATCGCTAATTTAGTTATCCAGTCTATTTTGTTAAGTAATTTACTTCCATGGACCGTGAGAAGATGTTTAGTTAAGCAGTATTGTTTACTTATCCGAGTTTAGTTAACCAGACTCTAATAGTGATAATTAATGAAGAAAGTTGCCGGGACCAAAGAAAAGTGTTTACTTATCAGGTCTGTTCAGTTAAGCGGTATTTCCCTTAGGCAGTTTCCACTGTATTGGAAGATTCCGTGAAGGTCAGGGTTAGATATGGTCTTCAGCAATCCATGCTACTCTTAAGAGACACTTACGGCTTGCTGACTTGGTTGACACATGTCATTGTATCCCAACTGCATAGATCAATTCTCTTGATGTTGATCACTTAATTGTCTGGTCCAGACTCGATTATTTACAGACTGCTGCCATACAGATGGAATAGTTTTGAGTGTGGCGCTACATAGCAAATTTATCATCATGGTGTCCCACAGCGACATGGAGCACACTTGGAGAAACAACTGACCTGATCAAACCGGTTGACATCATTGGACATGAGATTGACTATCTGTCCCACTGTGGTCTCGCCTAGAGCTTTGTTGCTCAGTCGGAGGGACTGGAAAAGAGATGATACACATCAGAATTATACAGAGATTCATGTCTGGATGACAAGCACCTGCTGATGACCTGCTCTTTTTGTGCCACATAGAAGTGAATGAGTGAACGTTGTTAAAAACTCCCACACACAAACAATGTATAATTACAAACAACTTTTATAAACAACCAGACCTTCCTATCTTACTTGACTGAAGAGTTCCTACTATTTCCAATGGGAGGGAAGTAGGGAGAGAGAGAGAGAGAGAGAGAGAGAGAGAGAGAGAGAGATTGAGTGAGTGAGTGTGAGAGAGAGAGAGAGAGATTGAGTGAGAGAGAGCTACCCCAGCACCCCTGTCTGATGGTGAAGGCCCTGATTGTTCTGAAGTATGTACAGATGTTGACAGCAGTTATGCCGAGACCCTCACAGCACATAGTGATACGATCGTGACTCACAGAAACTTACTTTCTTATACATCAAGGAACAGCAGGCCACCCGCATCTGCATGCCTATCCGTGTGACGCTGAAGAAGTAGGGGTGGTGAGCAACAGCGAGGACGATGGCACAGATACTGACAGCCATGGCGTACAGGTAGGCCTCCTGCTTCGAGATGGTGGAGTCGGGGGTGAAGTAGCGGATCAGTCCCCCCAGCAGTAACGGCTGCACCACCTTTGTTCCCTCCTGAAGACATAGGAGTAAACATTTAGCATTTGTCAGGGGACAAGAATAAACGTGTCATGAGACACAAATAAACATTTAGAACATGTCAGGAGAAACATGAGTAAACAGGTAGCATGTGTCACAAGACATAGTCAGGGGACTCAATAGTAAACAGGTAGCATGTGTCACAAGACATAGTCAGGAGACTCATTAGTAAACAGGTAGCATGTGTCAGGAGACACATTAGTAAACAGGTAGCATATGTCACAACACATAGTCAGGAGACTCATTAGTAAACAGGTAGCATGTGTCACAAGACATAGTCAGGAGACTCATTAGTAAACAGGTAGCATGTGTCACAAGACATAGTCAGGAGACTCATTAGTAAACAGGTAGCATGTGTCACAAGACATAGTCAGGAGACTCATTAGTAAACAGGTAGCATGTGTCACAAGACATAGTCAGGAGACTCATTAGTAAACAGGTAGCATGTGTCACAAGACATAGTCAGGGGACTCATTAGTAAACAGGCAGTGTCACAAGACATAGTCAGGGACTCACATAGTAAACAGGTAGCATGTGTCACAAGACATAGTCAGGGGACTCATTAGTAAACAGGTAGCATGTGTCACAAGACATAGTCAGGGGACACATTAGTAAACAGGTAGCATGTGTCACAAGACATAGTCAGGGACACATTAGTAAACAGGTAGCATGTGTCACAAGACATAGTCAGGGGACACATTAGTAAACAGGTAGCATGTGTCACAAGACATAGTCAGGGACACATTAGTAAACAGGTAGCATGTGTCACAAGACATAGTCAGGGACTCATTAGTAAACAGGTAGCATGTGTCACAAGACATAGTCAGGGAGAACATTAGTAAACAGGTAGCATGTGTCACAAGACATAGTCAGGGGACACATTAGTAAACAGGTAGCATGTGTCACAAGACATAGTCAGGGGACTCATTAGTAAACAGGTAGCATGTGTCACAAGACATAGTCAGGAGACTCATTAGTAAACAGGTAGCATGTGTCACAAGACATAGTCAGGGGACTCATTAGTAAACAGGTAGCATGTGTCACAAGACATAGTCAGGGGACTCATTAGTAAACAGGTAGCATGTGTCACAAGACATAGTCAGGGACTCATTAGTAAACAGACAGCATGTGTCACAAGACATAGTCAGGGGACTCATTAGTAAACAGGTAGCATGTGTCACAAGACATAGTCAGGGACTCATTAGTAAACAGGTAGCATGTGTCACAAGACATAGTCAGGGGACACATTAGTAAACAGTCAGGTAGTAGTAAACAGGTAGCATGTGTCACAAGACATAGTCAGGGGACACATTAGTAAACAGGTAGCATGTGTCACAAGACATAGTCAGGGGACACATTAGTAAACAGGTAGCATGTGTCACAAGACATAGTCAGGGGACACATTAGTAAACAGGTAGCATGTGTCACAAGACATAGTCAGGGACACATTAGTAAACAGGTAGCATGTGTCACAAGACATAGTCAGGGGACACATTAGTAAACAGGTAGCATGTGTCACAAGACATAGTCAGGGGACACATTAGTAAACAGGTAGCATGTGTCACAAGACATAGTCAGGGGACACATTAGTAAACAGGTAGCATGTGTCACAAGACATAGTCAGGGGACACATTAGTAAACAGGTAGCATGTGTCACAAGACATAGTCAGGGGACACATTAGTAAACAGGTAGCAAGTGTCAGGTGGCATAGTCACAAGACACATTAGTAAACAGGGCATGTCACAAGACAGTCAGTAACACAGGTAGCAGGTAGTGTCACAAGACATAGTCAGGGGACACATTAGTAAACAGGTAGCATGTGTCACAAGACATAGTCAGGGGACACATTAGTAAACAGGTAGCATGTGTCACAAGAGACAGTCAGGGGACACATTAGTAAACAGGTAGCATGTGTCACAAGACAGTCAGGGGACACATTAGTAAACAGGTAGCATGTGTCACAAGACAGTCAGGGGACACATTAGTAAACAGGTAGCATGTGTCACAAGGAGACACATTAGTAAACAGTCAGGGAGACACATTAGTAAACAGGTAGCAAGTGTCACAAGACAGTCAGGGGACACATTAGTAAACAGGTAGCATGTGTCACAAGACATTGTCAGGAGACTCATTAGTAAACAGGTAGCATGTGTCACAAGACATAGTCAGGGGACTCATTAGTAAACAGGTAGCATGTGTCACAAGACATAGTCAGGGGACACATTAGTAAACAGGTAGCATGTGTCACAAGACATAGTCAGGGGACACATTAGTAAACAGGTAGCATGTGTCAAGACATAGTCAGGGGACACATTAGTAAACAGGTAGCATGTGTCACAAGACATAGTCAGGGGACACATTAGTAAACAGGTAGCATGTGTCACAAGACATAGTCAGGGGACTCATTAGTAAACAGGTAGCATGTGTCACAAGACATAGTCAGGGGACACATTAGTAAACAGGTAGCATGTGTCACAAGACATAGTCAGGGGACACATTAGTAAACAGGTAGCATGTGTCACAAGACATAGTCAGGGGACTCATTAGTACTCATTAGTAAACAGGTAGCATGTGTCACAAGACATAGTCAGGGGACTCATTAGTAAACAGGTAGCATATGTTAGGAGAAACATTAGTAAACAGGTAGCATGTGTTAGGAGACACATTAGTAAACAGGTAGCATATGTTAGGAGACACATTAGTAAACAGGTAGCATATGTTAGGAGACACATTAGTAAACAGGTAGCATATGTTAGGAGACACATTAGTCAACAGGTAGCATATGTTAGGAGACACATTAGTAAACAGGTAGCATATGTTAGCAGACACATTAGTAAACAGGTAGCATATGTTAGGAGACACATTAGTAAAGAGGTAGCATGTATCAGAGGACAAGAATAAACAGTCAAGAGACATGAATAAGTGTTTAGGATATGTCTGGAGACCCATGAGTAGTACATAGAGTATGTATCCGAAAACAAGAATTAACATGTCAGGAGACACGGGAGTAAACATGCAGCATATGTCAGAGAGACATACGTTAACGTGCAGCATGTCTGGAGGCGTGTAAACATTTAGCATGTGTCAGGAGACACCTGAATAAACAAGAAGTATAAGTCAGGAGACAATAAACAGGTAGCACATGTGGAAAGACACAAGTTAACATCATGTGCATGTGTCAAAAGACACACAAGGACACAAGTAGCAAATGTCAGACACAAACAAGTGGATGCTGGCACCAATATCTGTACTGTCGGCTCAGGGGTGTGAGTGGAGCAGTCTTCTAATGTGCTGCAAACTACAATGCCCAGTCCTGTACGATCCACAATCCTGTGATCATTAGCTCAAATCATAAATATGTCTTTTGAAGCCTTGTCTGCATGATGCCCATGGTATAAAGACATACAAGTTAAAACAGCCCGATGACTTAGTACAAGCACAAAATGACTTTTGTCACAAAAGAAGCTTTCCAAAGTTTCCAGGGTCCACTTGTTACGTTTCTACTGAAAGTGAGCAAGTGTTGTTAATGCCAAAGTCAACAATATTTCACCTGTATCATAATGACTTGTGACTTCATACGTGCATGTGTCTGTGTGTGTGTATGTGCGGCTGCTTGTACTAGCCCAGACTAAGCGCTAGCTCACTGAGATGCTGCAGTTAAGCATGAATACCCCACTCAGACACATTATACTGACTCCAAGCCGACCAGTCCTTGTTGTACCCATTAATGCCGAGCACCAGACAGGGAACAACAAGTACCATATTTTAATGTCTTGTGGTATGATGTGGCTGGGGATCGAACCTGCGACCTTCCGCTCTCTGGGCGGATGCTCTAACCACTACACCACAGAGGTGGTCAAAGATGCTTAGAACTGGTCTTCAGTAACCCATGCTTGTTGTATGAGCAATGATCCACGTCACAGTGTAGACTGCAAGGGTTTCTGCTTTAATCACAGAGTTAGAATTGGAAATCTTTGATTTTTGGTGGCCATCTTGGACGCCATCTTGGATTGGACAACTAAATTCATGTTGGTCAAGTCTTACAGCGTGGACAGATCATAAGTGACCAGTTCTATCCCCTACTTGGTTTGTTTTCCTTTCAGACCATGCATTTTAGCACTGATTACACGGTAGATTTGGTTCAACGTTATTTTGTTCTCCTCAGGTGAAACTGTTTGCTGAAACCGTAGATATAACTGACTGACTGAGTTTAGTTTTACACCGCTTTTAGCAATATTCCAGCGATATCACGGTGGGGGACACCGGAAATGGGCTTAACACATTGGTCCCATGTGGGGAATCGAACCCGTGTCTTCGGCGTGACGAGCCAACGCTTGAACCACTAGGCTACCCCACCGCTCCCCGTAGATATAAAGACTGTGAGAGGAGGACATAAACATTCTTTATCAAACTGAAATGGTTCTTCTGTAAGTTCATCTTTTGTCTTATTGAAAAGTAATAGAGTAGAGACTTTGTTTATGGTCTTACATTGCTTTATGTGTGGTCACTAAAAACCTGTGATCTGTGGAAGTACTATCAGCATTATTGCTGATGCAGGTTTTCATAGTCAAAGGCAAAAAGTGAAATCGGGTTTAATGTCATGATCAAGATTGATTTTCATATTTGTACAGGAATGAGCAGGATTCATGAATAATTAGTCATGCATGTGTGCAGACCAATTTATTATTGCAATCTGTTGAAATGACTATCTGCATTCTTGTTGGTTTCAAAAAGTGAAATCGGGTTTAATGTCATGATCAAGATTGATTTTCACATTTGTACAGGAATGAGCAGGATTCACGAATAATTAGTCATGCATGTGTGCAGACCAATTTATTACGGCAATCTGTTGAAATGACTATCTGCATTCTTGTTGGTTTCAAAATGTGAAACAGGATACAATGTTACTTGTGTAACAACGTGCAGGATGCATGACCAATTTCTACGAGCATCTAATTCATTATGTATGTATTTTGTACAGTGAAGAATAACTATTGTAGTTTGAAGTGCGAAAAAAAACGAGAACATTTTACCGTGACGGTATCAAATGTCTGCACTTATCATGGTTTTACATTGATTCACAAAAATAGAGGTAATAAATAGGTGAAGTAAAGTGTATCCTGCACAAAGATGCTTAGAGGTGAGGTGAAATGGGGTTTAACATCGATGGACTTAAGAATTATTTAGCTCATACGTCCATGTGTGTGTGTGTGTGTGTGTGTGTATGTGTATGTGGGGCTGCTTGTACTAGCCCAGACTAATGCTAGTATTATAGTGCTAGCTCACTGAGATACCATGCCCCAGTTAAGAATGAATACCCCACTCAGACACATTATACTGACTCCGAGCCGACCAGTCCTTGTACCCATTAATGCCAAGCGCCAGACAGGGAACAACAAGTACCATATTTTAATGTCTTGTGGTATGATGTGGCTGGGGATCGAACCCGCGACCTTCCGCTCTCTGGGCGGACTCTCTAACCACTACACCACAGAGGCGGTCAAAGATGCTTAGAAGTGGTCTTCAGCAACCCATGCTTGTTCTTAGATATGACTAACGGAATCGGCTTGTCAGGCTGGTTGACAAGCTGGTTGAAAACAAGCTACAGGTGAGGTCATCCAGAGAGACTACAGCGTACTCACCTCAATGAACACAATGATTAGAGAAAACAAGCTACAGGTGTGGTCATCCAGAGAGACTACAGCGTACTCACCTCAATGAAGACAATGATTAGAGAAAACAAGCTACAGGTGTGGTCATCCAGAGAGACGACAGCGTACTCACCTCCATGAACACAATGATTAGAGAAAACAAGCTACAGGTGTGGTCCTCCAGAGACTACAGCGTACTCACCTCAATGAACACAATGATAAGAGAAAACAAGCTACAGGTGTGGTCCTCCAGAGAGACTACAGCGTACTCACCTCAATGAACACAATGATTAGAGAAAACAAGCTACAGGTGTGGTCATCCAGAGAGACTACAGCGTACTCACCTCAATGAAGACAATGATTAGAGAAAACAAGCTACAGGTGTGGTCCTCCAGAGAGACTACAGCGTACTCACCTCAATGAACACAATGATTAGAGAAAACAAGCTACAGGTGTGGTCATCCAGAGAGACTACAGCATACTCACCTCAATGAAGACAATGATTAGAGAAAACAAGCTACAGGTGTGGTCATCCAGAGAGACTACAGCATACTCACCTCAATGAACACAATGATTAGAGAAAACAAGCTACAGGTGTGGTCATCCAGAGAGACTACAGCGTACTCACCTCAATGAACACAATGATTAGAGAAAACAAGCTACAGGTGTGGTCCTCCAGAGAGACTACTGCGTACTCACCTCAATGAAGACAATGATTAGAGAAAACAAGCTACAGGTGTGGTCCTCCAGAGAGACTACAGCGTACTCACCTCAATGAACACAATGATTAGAGAAAACAAGCTACAGGTGTGGTCATCCAGAGAGACTACAGCATACTCACCTCAATGAACACAATGATTAGAGAAAACAAGCTACAGGTGTGGTCATCCAGAGAGACTACAGCATACTCACCTCAATGAACACAATGATTCCCAGGAGCATATACTGAACACCGAAACATCTCGCTAGGGCACGCATCAGACTGGGCTTCTTTCCTGTCTCTTTCAATTTCTTCATCTCTTTCTTCCATTCACTGAAAACAACAATAATTGAACTAGGTTAATAAACATTTCCCAGTCCACCTGTGTGTATGGGTTTGAATCCTGGAATCAAACCCACAAGTATGGCTAACACACCTGTTGCTAGAAGTTAAGATGTGCATGATTCGGGTGTTCGAATAGATCAGCACATGGCTTAAAAACTGCATGATACGGTTGGGTAGCCTGGTGGTTAAAGCGTTGGGTCATCATGCCGAAGACCTGGGTTCAATTCCCCACATGGTACAATGCGTGAAGCCCATTTCTGGTGTCCCCCACAGTGATATTGCAGGAATATCACTCGCTCGATCCCTCACTCACTCAATGCATGTGTGAAATTATGACGCTGTCTCTGTGGAACTCACTGACAACTAGATTAATATTTTCATTTCATCATGTTCATTATGATGGTAAACAAACAACCAAGAAGACATTTAAAACCATTATGGATTTGAACCTGCTAATTAGTGGTGTTCCGATTAATTGAAAAAATCAAAGATTGGTCGCAGTGACCTAACGACCAAACAATCGATCACATTTTCTCATAATCCAACACAAACGATTTTTGAACTACTGTTTTAGTCTTTGAAACACTTGACGATGTAACATATCTTCAAAATTGTCAGGGCCTGAAAACTTGTTTGATTCTTAGAAAACTCACTTCACTAACTGAAAAATTATGACCAAATATTTCTTGAAAACTCCAGGAAGTTTATGTTCATGATATATTAGTCATCACTTTAAAGTAGCAAGTTGCATCATGTTATACATATCTGCAATAACAACCTGGATGGGAAAATCTGAAAAATGATGCTAACCAATTTTTTTCGATGATTGTTCGTTGGTAATGAAGCAATCATCAATTGTGATATTTCATCCAATTCCCAACACTACTGCTAATAATTACAAATTTAGTTTAAAGCATTAATAAACAGGTAGTAATAAAAGCTAATCCCAAACAGTGTACTTAGGCTAAGGATCACGTACAGTCCCCAGCAACCAGATGGTTGTAAGAGATGATTTCGTGGATCTGGTGGACATGCTGTATGATTTTGTGGATCTGGTGGACATGCTGTATGATTTCGTGGATCTGGTGGACATGCTGTATGATTTCGTGGATCCGGTGGACATGCTGTATGATTTCGTGGATCCGGTGGACACGCTGTATGATTTCACGGATCTGGTGGACACGCTGTATGATTTCATGGATCTGGTGGACATGCTGTATGATTTCGTGGATCTGGTGGACATGCTGTATGATTTCATCCATCTGGTGGACACGCTGTATGATTTCGTGGATCCGGTGGAAATGCTGTATGATTTTGTGGATCTGGTGGACATGCTGTATGATATCGTGGATCTGGTGGACACGCTGTATGATTTTGTGGATCCGGTGGACACGCTGTATGATTTCATGGATCTGGTGGACATGCTGTATGATTTCGTGGATCTGGTGGAGGTGAGGTGAGGTGAGGTGAAATTGGGTTAACGTCGTGCTTGAGAATATTTCGCTCATATGACGACGTGCATGCGTGTGTATGTGTATGTGCAGCTGCTTGTACTAGCCCAGACTGAAGCTGGTTTTATAGTGCTAGCCCACTGAGATATCATGCCGCAGTGAAGCATGAATACCCCACTCAGACACATTATACTGACTCCGAGCCGACCAGTCCTTGATGTACACATTAATGCCGAGAGCCAGGCAGAGACCAACATACCACTACACCACGGAGGCGGTCCACAGGGGCGGTTGGTTAGCCTAGTGGTTAATAGGGCTGAGACGATACACTATGTCACGATACGTATCGCAATATTTTACCTGTGATATGATATGTATCATGATTTAAAATGATATATTTTTCAAGGTATATGTGTATAACAATAACACTTTTGTAATAATTAAACAAGTAACTCTATCATATTTACAATTTTTTATCTAAATAGGTACTTTAACATGTTTAAGATATTGTTCTGAAAAAAGTCGTAAGTAAATAATCAAGCCTGGACCAGACAATCCTGTGATCATCAGCATGAGCATTGATCTATGCAACTGGGATACGATGAGATGTGTCAACCAAGACAGTGAGCCTGACCACCCGATCCCATTGGTTGCTTCTTATAACAAGCATGTGTTACTGAAGACCAATTCTAACCCGGATCTTCACGGGTCCAAATCACTGGATTATGATGTTTAGTCCAGCTTATGCTCAGACGGTAGTCTCCCCCTCTGCCAATTATTAAGGCATCATTTGACAAAGAATCGTAGAGTTACGTCCGTTGTAAGTCTATGTCTTATGTTACAGTATGGATGTTAAGATCACTTTAGTGCTACAATCGCTTAATGAAACAGACCTTAGTCAAGACTGGTTCAATTTACCAGGGATGGTGGGGTAGCTAAGTGGTTTAAGCATTTGCTTGTCACGCCAAGACCCGGGTTTGAGTCCCCACATGGGTACAATGTGTGAAGCCCATTTCTGGTGTCCCCCGCCATGCTATTGCTGGAATATTGCTAAAAGCGGCCTAAAACTACTCACTCACTCAATTTACCAATATTACAAAATGAACGACATACAGTATTACAGGTACACAAAAAGCCAGCTCATGTAGACTGATGAACCTCCATGCAAGTAACAAAACACAACATCATAGCAGTAATAAATATTTCTGTCCTTGATTATGGGAAAAAATATTTTCATACAGACGAAGAACAATCAAATGTTCAAAATATCAAAATACTGACACAATCACACGTGACAGGTGTGTTTACATATGCTGACAGTCATCACATGACTATATTGTGGTAATTGTATATCATTTGTGTATTTTGTTTCAATTAGATACATTTGTTCGGAGTTTTCTATCACACTACCGTCACTGATCCATGCTGTTGTTGCAGCAGATGTCTGGATCAGTCTCGTGGCTGCATCTCAACTAACATCTCATTGTAAAAAAAATATATTTCCATATGAGCCTGAAGAGTGTGACAACTCATCTTCAGAAATGCCACTCAAAAACAAGGCAATTACAAATATCTGCCATACTTGATCATTTATTGATATGCTGATATTGTAATTTTCAGAGTGATATGAATATTTTTCATGTAGAAATAAACATCTGTTACAGGGCATCTTGTCATACCAAAGCATCACAATCTGAATCATCAATTTGCTGCGCACTTACTACCATATATCACCGTCTATAAAGCAAATTAAAATATAAGGCGACTCCCATACACAAACCTTCAAAATTGATGCTTTAGACAATAACTAACGAGTGACAGGGAATGACAGATTATCTTTCCAGAGTGAACAATTACAGGTATTTTTAGTAATTGTTAGTAAACTTACCTCCGGATTATGGTTGCCAGTTTCCTATGGTATCACAGTGACATACAGAAATGAAAGAGAAAAAAGTTCTCTTAAAAAACCCCAACTAAGTCATAGTTATCCTTAGTGGTATGCCTAAAGAACGACACAGTTATCTCCCCTAGCCGTGACGTCGCAGCATTGTTCTCCCCAAGCCCTCATAATTTTTTCTACAGAAACTCTTAATAAACGTCTTCTCATACACCTGGTCGGGAAGTTCAGGAGGGACCTATATCCCATAATCCAGAGGTAAGTTTACTAACAATTACGAACAATACCTGTTATTGTTCCTAATTATGTCGTAATGTTCCCTCTGGATTATGGTTGCCAGAATCCAACATATGGGCGGAGGGCCCTGTGGATGAGATGAGAATAGGGATACCAATATCTTACTGGAAGTATATAATTCTCATAACTGAATAACTACGACTTTGATTACTTCATGTCCTATGATACCCGCCACCATAATCCTAACAATGATTAATTGTTAGCTTAAATAACTAGGACAGGAAGTTAATGTGAGGAGAATTCTGTCCATCTAGGAGAGCTCGCTAGAACATACATAAACCTTAGTATCTTTAATTCTGTAGAAACCATATTTCTATCTTTCTTTGAGTTAATGACGTAACTTCCGGTTTGATGACGTCACTTCCGGTTTAACGGTACTTCTCTTGATCAATTTTAGGTGATTAAAACACCTGGTCTACTCATGATGTCACTTCCGACAAATGACATCACTTCCGGTTTATTTGACATCACTTCCAGTTGATGACGTCACTTCCTGTCAACTACCGAATATGACTACCCCTCTATTATTCAGATATAACTAAACAAATGATTGAAAGCCTTACAACCTCTAATTGTCCCCAATATGGATCTAGCATCACTCCTAGACTGACTGACTGACTGAGTTTAGTTTTACGCCGCTTTTAGCAATATTCCAGCAATATCACGGCGGGGGACACCAGAAATGGGCTTAACACATTGTGCCCATGTGGGGAATCGAACCCGGTTCTTCGGCGTGACGAGCCAACGCTTTAACCATTAGGCTACCCCACCGCCCCCACTCCTAGAAGTCACGTGACCTTGTGAACCCCATCACCTCTCGTAGGGATACCAATCCCGCTAACATAGTGTTCAACTATTAGCAAATAGTTCTTCTTAAGCCACACCTTCCATAGGTCTACTCGTAGAATCTCTTTCCTTGACTGTTCCAGTCCCACTAGGATCCGAAGTCAGGCTGTGACTCTCTCCTGTCTGTTGGAAGGCTCACTTCTGACTTCCGTGAAGATTCTCATGAACTCGAGTTGATCCCGGCTGACTGAGCAGATTCTCCCAAAGCGGCAGTTGAAGAGGCATATCCATGAGAAGCTGAAGAAGCGTGGGGAACCAGGCCCTCGCCGGCCAGAGAGGAGCCACTAGAAATACTACACAACTGTGAAGAATTATCTTGGATAACACCTCCGGAATCATCTTGAATGGCGGAAAAGCATACACGATCATATTGTCCCAAGAAATCGACATGGCATCCACTGCCCACGCTAGAGGATCTGGTACCGGACTGACATAAGTGGGAAGACGATTGTTCATGCATGTCACAAAAAGATCTATCATCGGAAACTCCC